AAGTTGAAACATTGTATTAAAATATGTAATCAAAAGTATTATCTATCAATAAAACCTGTATTATATGTGAATAGTAAATTATTTTTTGTAATATGAATTAAAATTATATTTATAAATATATTAAAAATGATAAAATAATGAAAATATATGTTACTGTTATAAATAATTAATGTTTTTTATTTATAATATATTGATGTAAGTTTCCTGTTTTTAATATATCATGCATGAAGCTTGTATAGGCATGGTGTGTCATGGCCCAGTTGTGTATTTCAGAGTGTCAGCCCAACCCTCAGTGATGTCTAATTGGCCTTTCTCTTGCCATTATAGCTTAAATTAAAAATTTGGGCCTAGCAAAATTGAATATGGGGGAAACATTCACATGTAGTCAATCAAAAATAATTTAATTATAATTTATAATTATATTTTGATAATTACAATTCATAGCTATATGTTATATGAAGGAGTGAGATGAACGAGAGGGAGAGGGAGAGAGGAGAGAGGCGAGAGAGGAGAAAAAGAGTGGGAGAAAGGTGAATTGTATATGTATATTAATTAGATAGTTGTATATTATACACATGTATTTGTATATATGAAAATGAGAGGCGAGCGAGAGAGGACAGAGAGTGGGAGAGAGGTGAATTGTATATATATATAATTGTATATTATACATATACATTTGTATATATGACAAGCGAGATTGGGAGATGGAGGAAAGAGGCAGGCGAAAGAGGACATAGAGTAGGAGAGAGATGAATTCTACATTCCCTTAAAAACATTTGACTGAAAACAATTTTTATCCTTCTTTTTGGCTTTATTACTATACAGACACTTTGAATATTTCTTCAGTTCAGGGATTACACAGTTCACATGTTACAAAAAATATAATTTTATAATACAACTTTTCGATAAAAAAAAATCTCTTTTGATAGCTTGACACTATTTAGTTCTGCACTGAGGTGATGTACCCCTAAAGAGAAACTGACTAGTTACATATGGATTGCTGGTTTTGAATTGTTGACTATTATAGGTTCAAACTATTATTTTCATTACTAATGCTTTCGATCTTCGATACTCATCAAATTGTCTCCTCTAAAATATAATAGTCCAACCACATTATATTATGACTTAAATAAATTTTAGATACATATCATATATCAAGGGTTCATATCCGGACAATACAACTCTTTGTTATTACTCTTTTATCTTTACTACTCATTCAATTATTTCCTCTAAAATATACTAGCCTAACATATATATGTGATTCGAATAAAGTGTAGATAAGTATTAAAAGAACGTTGTTCTTCAAACAAATAATGCTCTCTTTTACTCAACTTTAACCTAACTTTTTTCATTCATTTTAGAATATTTTCATTCACCATTATAAGAAAAATGACTAATGGTGTTATTTGTGTTAGAAAACTTTCCTCGGAATATATTGAAAGATAGATAGTGTAGTAATAAATTTTTCAAAAAAAAATATCGAACATTTTATATTTTTATGCAGACATAAGGTTGCAGAGTAAATTAAATTATTTTTTTATTAATATAATTGCTATCGCTGCCAGTTTTTTTGAACAAAAAGACCACATAATATTTTATAGGGTAAAACTAGTCGTTTTTGAAGAATTTGAAATTTAAAAATTATGATTGCAAGTCAGCTCTCTGACAAAACAATAAAATAAAATAGTGAATGAATAATATCTGTTGTTTTGTGCATAAATTTGATGAGCATTTAACAGCTAGCAGATATGGTTGCACCTTCCATATGCATCATCATAATATTGACCGGGTAAATTATAAACTCCCTTAGATACAGCCAAAAACGATATTCTCAAAACATAAATATAATAGGCGCTTATGTTTTGATATGCAATTTTATGCTGATTTTATTTCATAATTTCACATCGTAATATGAAATTTCACATTCTCTAAAAACATGATTTGAGAATTTCAAATCATGATTTAGCACTGTTAAAAAGCGAAATTACCCTATAATTTTGTAAAACAACTTCATATTTATATCTATATATTAATCATCTATTTTGTATATAAGTACTCTATCCATCCGGTATTGTTTGTCATAGTTACTATTTTTAGAGTCAAACTATAAAAACTTTTACTAACATTTTAAGATGCATTTTTTCATCATATTAATATGCAAAAAAATTGTAACTTATAGTACTTTTCATGTAGTTTTAGAATATCTAATTTTTTTGTTTAAAATATCGAATTAATGTGATCTAATTTACCTTTAAAAATTACTCAAATTGACTTTCGTTGAGCGCAACATGACAAACATTTCCGAACGAAGAGAGTAAAATTTATGAATAATTATACTCTTATAACGATTATTCTCACCAACATAAAATTTATAATTACTTCAAATCATTTTATATTTAACCATTTATATCCACCAAATTCCTTTTTTTTTTCTAAAATCAAATTTAACCCACCAAATTGACTGACAAATGGTTCAAAGCCCTATGTTGGTTTGTTTTCTCTGTTATATATATGATCGAGAAATGTAAGTTTAATGTGAGAAGATTGTTTATTCTATGTTGGATGATTATATTAAAGATTAATACATTATAACTTAAGTTCATCTTTTTTTCTTGTTGAATCAAAGTTTGATCAATAAAATAATGTACCTTTTAGAATACATAACTCTATAATAGTATATTATGTGATTTTATAAACTTTTGCTTATAAGATTGTATAAAGAAAGGAAACAATTTTAATAGTTTTACAACTTATGAGAGTTTTATGTTTATGAAAAATATACAACATAAAAAGTTCAAATTGCAAATTCAAACAAAACGTTAACTTTATCGCATAACTCCATATCATGATTTTATATTGCATGGGCGAACCCTTTGTAAATGTTATACCTCAAGCATAAGTTCAATAACATGTATGGATTTTATTTTTTTGTACATAAGCTTAGTATTCAGCGACAAAAATTATGTTTGAAAGCAAAAAAAGTAAAAACTCCAGATATAAGCTAATTTCAAACGTAACGTAACTTAGGAATAAATTAATATCTCAAATCAGACATAAAACAAAGTTAAGTCCAATTTTTCTTTGAGATTATTATTTTTATCCTATGATCAAACGTTTTCTAACTTGGAATTCCATTAGACAATGTGTTATGTTAACGATGTTACCATAATAATCAGATTCCTAGTTATCCTATAAATTTTAATCAAAGCAGGCCGGCCGTATATAGACATAAATAATCTTTATTTGGTCAAAATTTATTAGTATTATCCAAGCTAATCTTCCCTTTCTAAAATGCGTGAACTAGTCATTAACAGTAGTAGAAAGTAAAATTCTGGAGATCTTGTTATGTACCCTGATAATAATTAATATTATTTAAATTTTAATCTCTTGCAAAAGAAGGGGAGAGAATAAGTATTTTTTAAAAAAAATTGAAAAGCAAAAAAAACACTTGTATAGTAATTTTTGGATTTCGAGAGTCAAAAAAAGAAGTTTTCGATTGTAAATTTTATTTTTTAGAAAGATTAAAAAGTTTCATATGTAAATTTATGGACTTTGAAAATTCAAACTTCCTAACGATAGACAAAGAAAATAATTTTTTTTTGAGGGGGGAGGGGGGAAGGGGGTTGTGAACAAAAACGTCTGAGTATTTTATATTTAAAGTTTAAACCAATTTTTTTAATTAATTATAAAGTTGTAAGTCTTTCAAATACCTTTCACATGAAAGCGCATTAAGTTAATTAGCTAGCTTCTTTTTTCTTTTTCTTTTTTTATAAAAGAAAATTAAACAAGGGAGACGTACAATGTATTAGTGGGGATTAGAGACTTTGAGATTTGCATTATTCTGATATTAGATCAGCTAATTAATTGCTGACAAAACTATATTAAATTAGTACATATATCTTTTTTGTTTGCTTTGCTTTGGTGCCTATCTCTTGTATATTATACTAGTTTTTACTATAAATAATTTAAAACAAGATGGTGGTGGCTGCTATAATTAACAATATTGACTGGCAAACATGAATTAGGAACTTGTTATTTTCAACTTAATTACGTCCTGTTTTTATAATATCTTCCTTAATTTAAGTTCTCTCTTAGCAATAGTGATTCAGCCATCATGTGAACTAATTAATCAAATTGGGATTTCTTTATTTCTTTCTTTTACTCAACATATATAAATCTGGTCAAACTTATAATTAAGTAATTCTGTCATACTCCTAATCCAATGTACCGTTTAAGTTGTACAAAGCATGTGATTTTAGTTTTAGCTTCGACTTAATATGTTAGTCATGTCATCAAATACGGTGAATAGTGAGATCCCATCCTTGGCTAAGCCTTGAAAATCGTAATGTCATTATGCTTTTCAAATCCTCGTAGCTATTATTCTTACGATTCAATTCCTTCTATCCTACAAATTAAAAATAAAAAGCATCGTGCATATGTATATATACATTTTGATTTTTGAGCTTCCTTTATTCTATTTAGAAATTCACATGCAAGATATTTGATCCTGTTGTATTGCGATTTGTAGGACAGGATGTGAATAATTCATTTTTCCGATATATGCATGTATATATATTTTATATATTAGGAGAATAATATAATATATCATACTGAATTAAAATAGGATGTAAAAAATTGTTAATGTAAGAGCATTATGATTCATGGTTGTAGAGGAAATGAGACCTCTGGCATGTATTCTTACCATTTGAATTTTATAAAATTAATTTTTTTCAGATATTTAAAGTGAAAAAATAAAGATGATCGTCATATTTTGCTCGTCTCTTATATAATTTAAATAGAAAAAAGTAATCTTTTTGATATCTTATATATAAAAATAATGATTATCTCTGATAAAAAGGCCATAGAACTAAACAAAAAAAAAGTTTGTAAGTAACATTTCTTCCACTTTTTTTTTTGTCCCACAAAAGTACTCTATGTTTACTAATTTTTCGTAACAGTCTAAAAAATGAATTCAAATTATAGAAATGGACAAAAAAAAGAAGGAACAGAAAAGGAAAATGCCTCTCCATTTCATAATGTACATCACATTCACCTCTCCCCAAAAAATAATAAAGATTTTGTGTCTTGACTATGAAGCCAAAAGAAAAAGAAGTAGCTTTTGAATAAAGAGATATGTAATTTTTTAATTTTTTTAATCAATTCTTTTTATATTCATTTTTTTTACTTTAAAACTTAAAAGTAGCATGAATACAATAGTTAGAAAATCTTTTACTTAGTTCATGATATTTGGGCCCGGGCTTTAAATAAATGGGCCAAAGATTGGGCTTTTCTAACAGAGGAAGACTTCAACACTTGAGCTTCTAATGGAGAGACAGAGTGGACATGCTTGTACCACAGCGTCACAATCTGTGCACACACACAAATGCCGGCACGGCAAAAGCACCACCGACGCTACTCGCTTCCGGCATGCCTTGCAACTCGGACCGGTTGTCTCCACCACTCGGTCTGGATCGATGTAAGCTGATTCAGCATCCTCAGCTTCTCCGGCGCCGGCGATGTCTCCGTCCGGGAGGTTCGCATTGCACCCTCCGCCGTTCATCATCGCCTGCTGCAGCTGTGCCTGTAGCGTTGCTGCGGTGAATTCCTCCGCTCTAGCCCTTGCCTGCCAGGCTTGCGCCTCTGCACTGAGCTGCGCTGCACGCGCCTCTAGCTCGGCGTTGCGCCGAAACGCTTTTCCAACCTCGGCTTCCTTTTCCTTCAGCTGCCGTGCCATTGATTCCTCGGCGGTTCCAATCAGAGCACGATAGTGTGCTCGCCTTTTATCCTCTAATGTCCGTCTTAATTGTTCTCTCTGTTAATACCAAACAAAACTATTATCCATTGCAATACAGTCTAACAAATTAAAAAGCCCTAAAATTCGCTATACCTGAACATGGAGGAATTGTTCAATTTCATCGCGGTGTTGTTTGATAATAGTAGACATGTCTTCTGTGAATATGGAATAGAAAGCTGATGATTGAGAAGATTGAGGAGAAAGAGAGTGTTGGTTTTGTTGTTGCTGCTTTTGATGGTGTTGTAACTGTTCTCCAGAAGCTAAACGGAGGCCGGTGGAGACAACATTTGGATTTGTATGAAGCTGAGTGAGATCAATCAGCTGCGGCTGAGATTGCATTGACGGATTCATTGCAGTGGTGGTGCTAACTTCTCTTCTTCTCTTACACGGCGGATGATGATAAGAGCCAGCTGCCATAGCCAAAAACAAGGTTATTCCTCCTCTGTAGGAACCCATCCCTTCAATAAGTATAAGAATAGTTTGGATTTGTTTTTACCTCCTGGATTGAATCGCATTTGTGTGTGATCAAGAATTGATCCTCCAGCAGGTTGAGGTTGCAACGAATATTCATCGTTGCCAATTGGGTTCTTTCGTTCTTGCACAGCTCTGCAGTCAATGAAAAACCTTCATCAAGTAAGTTACTAGTAATGAGAAAAAGAAAGAAGATAAATTTGAGAAGCATACCTGTTAAAGAGGTGAACATTAGATGGGTATTGAGCTTGAACAGCCATTGAAGAATGATCAAACACAAGTAAGCTGTGTGTGTGTATATATATAGAAGTAAGGGATTTTGATTGGTAAAAGAGAGTGGGGAGGAAGGGAAGGCCTAATTAAGGCAAACACAGAAACAGCATGAATGAGAAGAAGATGCCCCAAACTATGGAAATACCAACAAGTATTCAAAGACTTTATTTGATTCTTGATAGAGAGAAAAGAATGAATCTTTCTTCTTTTATGTTGGAGAAGAAGAAGCCAACCCTTAACCCATTAAGAACACCAACATGACCATGTTTCCACCTAAGAAACTCATCTTCTTCTTTTTTTAATGTTTTAGTAGTAGCTTAACACCTAATAAATGGTTTTATGGGAGAGAGAGAAGGAGATGCGATCAAAACGAATGAGTCCAAATGGTAGAGGGAGAGCCCCTCTTATTGTGGTTCCTTGTTCTTTCGCGTGGGCTTTGTTTTTTTTTCTTTTCTTTCAACACGGCAAGAGGGACTCTCGTGTTTCTCATCAATCCCCCTCCTTTTTATAATCCTAATATTACTTGTCTACACTCATCTTTTCATCCCAATATTTGTGCTATTTTTCTATCACCCATACACTACCCTACTTGTATTACTTACATGTACTATTATTGTTTTATAACAATGGACACACATCCTTGTAGTTGAGAATTTTAATCTAAGTAGATAAGATATAGATTTAGTCAATCAAACATTTATATCCTCCAACTTTGAATTTAGATATTTGAAATTGTGTAAAAATTAAATAAAAAGACATAAGACTTGAATTATTACATATAATGCATGTGTTTATTTATTTAATTTTATTCAAATTTAATTAAAATACATAAATGAAGTCAAATTAAGCCTTGTGTATGGAGCATGGCCCATGCATCCTCGCCACCTCTCTATTTTTAATTAATAAATAATAATAAGATTAAAAAAAAAATCAATTGAGGTTATTACCTCTTCTACCATCTCAAGTAATTCGTTATCCTATCAAGACCCGATCAAGAAGGAAGAACCTTTTATAAAAGGAATTTTAAAAAATTTCCCTTTTAACTCGAGATTTTTAATTAAAAAGATTTTTTTAAAAAATTTCTTATCCTCTCCTACTAAAATACTCATAGAAAGGAACCAAACCTTCGATTTTAGGTAAGTATATGAAATAAATTGTGTACAATATTGGTATATGGACCATTATTTAAAACGAAAAGAGGAGTTGTCCCTTTACATAGAGAAAAGGGATTGGTTTCACTTCCATAAGTAATAAATTTCGATGTGTGTGACGGAGGATCCATGGCTTTAAAGCAAGATGCCTCTCTCTATAGCTATATAGTTGTGAAGGCTATGTCACCCTCAATATTATCATACAAAATTTTGTTCCATTTTCCTCTTTCGTTTCTAGTCGTTATTTGCTAAAGTGGGTCCATAAAATATTATGATTCTTATATTTGGAACTTTGCAATTCGAGCTAATGAGCTCCATTACTAATTATAGATTTCGTTTGCCTATTTCTAACCATTGATATTAGTCGGATGAGATTCGTCTGTTTTGTATAACACATAGTAATATATACATAAGTTAAAAATTTCAAATTCAAAAACAAAAAATTATATATTCCTATAAAATAAAATAATAAAATCAAGACTATTTTGGAGTTATTTTATACTTATTATCATTTTTTTTAATGAAAGCAAATATTTATTATTGAGCCGTTGAAAGTGAATTTTGTTTTTATTTGGAGCGACATCTTAAAAATGAATCCTAGAATATGCAAATTAGAGTTAGTCAAATTTCAATATAGATACTAAACATTCGTTAAAAAATAAAAAATAAAAAGTACATATTTGTTTAGTTTAACTCCTTATTCTAGGGATTTTCCCCCTATTTGAAAGAATTGGAAAACTCAAAATTTGCAAACTAATGTTATTTACTAGGTTCAAGTTTTTTTTTCTTTTTGGGGTCTTCAAGATTCAAGTACTAGTGGTTAAAATTGATCTAAGTTTTTACAATTTGACTCTCAAACAAAACTTAGACAAGAAAAGTGAATGCAATGAGTATTTATTTCTTTGTCACAATTCTAGATTAAAAAATTTATGAGATTCATTTGCTACTGAAAAGATTAAAAAGGTAAATTATTTTAACTAAAAAATAAAAAGGAAAATAAAATTTAATGGAAGAAAAACGTTTTGATAGTCTGTACTTCGAATTCATTAGTATAAAAAATTGATTAAAAATAACAAATGTAATAGACATAATAAAGTGATTAGAGTTATAATTTTGATAATTATTACCGATCCAACACAACCAGGATGGTGTTGTTTGACAACTTAATTTGTTTTGAGCAACGAAATGTTTGTTTAGAAAATTGTCCCCACAGGCCTCCTCTTGATTAATTAGTTAATTGACAAATCCTCTTCTAAGAGTTTTGTTAAACATCTAATTTATGCACCAAATATGATATTATTATAATACTATTTCATTTTATCAATGTTTGTTACAATGTGGCAAGTCGCTATATTTTGTTAGCTCTGGATTTTGAATAATTTCATATGAATTTCTAGTTGATGAAAGTTTTATGTAAAGAGTTATCATTTTCTCTTCTTTTTTTTTTTGGTTCGTAATAAATCATAACGTGTGCCCTAACAATTTAAAATGCATATTTATGCCTTGTATAACAATAATTAGCACTACTAACCGCTTTCATTTGCAACAATTAGTTGACCATAAAAAGTATGGTAAAATTTTTGTTGATCGATATTTTATTATAATGATATTTATCGTAATAAAATTTATCGCGTATAATAATTCTCAAAGATCTATTTCACATATACATTTGTTTAAACATATCAAACTTATTCTTATAACGACCCAAACCATCGTGATTGACACCTACACTAGTCCTTCGGCGGGAGAATTATTTATACTAATTAGCTAACAACTTAATCTAAATACTAAGACATTTAAGTTAAGAAAACAAGTTAAATGCTAAGAAAAAAAATAGGGGGTTCCCATAAACTCCAAATCAATAGTATAAAAACTAAACAAATGTGGAAATACGCCTAGAACCTGAAAGTCAGTGTACCAAAACTCTACAAGATTCATAAGTCTAAACAAGAAGGGTAAAGCCCCAAACTAAACATAAGAAATCCTAATGCAATAGTCTAAGTCTGAAATGATCGACATAAACAAAAGAGAACTCATGACATCCCGGAAGAAACAACTCACCATTGAATTCGAAACGATCACTGATCTTCTAAGTAAGGTTTGTCAATAGCCGTCTGAAGATTCCCTGTACTCAACAAAGAAAGAGCAAGTGCAGTATCAGTACACAACCACAGAGTACTGGTAGGATCACACGACTATCCCACTAAGTGCAACATACATAAGTGATTACAACATAATAATAACATGCATACACCAAGCATATATAATATCATCATTATTTACGAAGCAGCGTACAATATTAGATTTCTCAAGATACACAATTACGTCACATCATTGGTTCTCTCATGAAATTCAAACTCAAATAGTTAGCATAGCGAAACGTGGTATCCGATCCAATGTTTATGTCAGAACGAGGCAACCGATCCAAGTTAATATGTGGGAACGCAACACCCAATTCATTCAACAAGCCATAATCACAAATATATTCTCATAATCATAGAATCAAGTCATGATTTATGATGTTCATCATTCATCTATCTTATTTACAACAAGTGTGATCAATAATGCAACATTCACATACATACACTTATTATAATGAAGCAAGAACAAACATATATCACACAATCATGAAATCAAAAACATCACCTATCTCGAAACAAGCAAGCTTGAATTCCCTAAGAAACTTGATTCTTCCCTTTCCTGATTTGTTCATCTTGTTATTGGTCTATAACAATTAATTAAACACTTGAATCAATAAACAATAACTAATTTTTCGAATTACTAACAATTCTATCAATCCTAGATCATATCCATTATCCTTATACCCAGATTGGAATTTTTTCTGCCATAATATTCAGATCATAACTCTTCCCATTGATAATTACCTATTAGATTACGTTCTACGGATGAAAAACGAATTCAGAGAGTTAAAATCTTACCTTTAGCCTTAAAAATGGTGAAAATTGTCAATAAAACCCCTGAGTTCCTTCCTTACCTTTCAAGTTCGAAAATTGTAGAACAAAACATTTTTGGAGTTTATTTTCAACTTTAAGTCGCGTCTGTCCTGCCACAATAGTACTCTTCTTGCTACAGCGACCCCGCCCCTTGCCGCATAAATCTTGTCTCAGCGATGTGCACGAAACAATGAGCAATTTTAAGAATTTGAAACCCTTATTTTAGAACACACCTTTAACCAATGACACTCAAAAGCTACCCGTTCACGCTTAGATCAATTTCGAGAGTTTTACTTACCCGAGTTCAATTTCGTAAAGTCATATTGGTTCCTTAGCGACTTACTTATCTAATCATGTGATCAAATTTATAATTAAACCACTCAATTATTACTAGATTTTTCTAGACTTTAATTATTTCGATTTTGTCTAAATTTAAACTAGTTTCAAAATTCTAATGACAACGTAAAAAAATTCCAACTCAAAGTTACAATTCATTTGTGGATGTCAAGTATCAATTATGTTTGATTCAAACGTTGCATATATTTATTTATATATGAAGCCAGTAATAAAATAGAAAAGAATATATATATGACCTAAGCATCTTTATTGCAACAAAAATTATATGCGTCAGTCAAAAGTTTTGGATACCGTCATGACTTTATCCAAAATAAGAGAGGTTCATTGCCTCATTTCAAAGGTGAGGGATAACATTTGCCAAACCTACAAGTTTAGGGGGTGAAGTGGAATTTACTTAAAAAGAAAGAGTGAATGATTAGTTAAATTTGAAATACCGCTATATATAAAAGAAAATGACAAAAATGGTCTCGTATATTCGAGGATAGATTTTGTGAACCACCGAGTCTTAGCTAGCGTTTGGCCATAGATATTTAAATATTTTTGGTAAATATTATTTGGATGAAAATTTGGGTGAAATTTTACCATGTGTTTGGTCATAGAATTTGAGAAACATATTTCATTTTTTAAGAAATATGATTTATACCCATAAGTTTTTAAAACTATCAAACTAACAATAAATTTGTATTACATAACACAATAAAAATCTCATGTAACAAGATTTATGACTTCAGCAACAAATCAACAAGAATCATTACAATAAATATTCGTTTAGTGAAAAGGTCTTGGTACAAATCATGGTAATGAAAATATAACTAATATAAATTCGGGGAAAAAAAAGAGAAGAAAACAAAAGGAAATAAATATTGCAATCACTGAAGAACCTATGCTTTCTCATCTGAAAGAGTTCAACCTATTCTTTAATATAATCTTCTCACATTTTATGAACAATCTCTTCTCGATGAGCTTGCATTTCCGAATCAGATGATCGAGAAGATGAAACGATGTTGTTACCCTGAGCCAATAGTTCGTCACTTTCATCAAGAACCATATCATCATTTTCATATTCATTGAATATTCCATCAC